AGCTTTATAATTACTTATAACTTACCGAATTTGATGAACGACATCTTTTATTGGAAAGATGAGCTTGATGAGCTTTCATCATCGCTACTGCCTGAAGCACCAACGTCAATAATGAATGGCTCGACTTGTTCCTCTAAAATATTGTCCAGTTCCCACTTTCTCTTTTCAACTTTGTCTTTCACGTACTTAATACAGTTTTCCCATTTTTGGGCTGTTATTAATTCTAGTGCTTCTTTGAAAAGTCCTTTGAGGTCACAAAATTTAAAAGTTGTATTGTGCTTAGCTATATAATTTTTAACCTCTGCCCATATGAGCTCAATGGGATTGAGCTCGCAATGGTATCGAGGTAAACGGAGCACAGTTTTATTTTGACTTGCTGCCATTTCGTCAATGGCGTATTTTTGATATTTCGCCTTGTGATTTTTGACAATTCTTAATAATTGTACTTTCAGCATTGCTTCTTCAAAGTTGATATTTTTCGAGCGGAGCCAATTTTGAACATCAACTTTCCTTGAAGCCGTTGTTGGGACCTTCTCCATTCTTCGAGAATGATAAGGCGCATTATCCAACACAATTACTGCGTTTTCCTCTAAGTTCGGTAAAATTTTTGAAAACCACTGTTCAAACGATTCGCCATTCATTTCCTCGTGGTAATCTCCAGTTTTCTTAGACTCAAAGCACCACAGACCGTCAACAACAAATCCATCCTCACTGCCAATATGGCAGATAATGAGCCTTTTCCCTTTATCTGGAAATCGAAGTACTAACTGGTGTAGATTTATTTCAATAAGCGAATCTTTTTCAAATGTTTTCATCACATTCAGCGAAAAAACATTGAGACATGAGTATCAGATTGCTATAATTGGGATTATTTAGTCATATTGAAAGAAAGAATATTGAACGTCGTATGATTACTCAGCGCTTCACAATTTAATTTAAAGTTATAAACCTTTAAAAAATGAATGATCAGGAACCTGAAATACGCGCAAATATTAATATTAACAAATTATAACTTTATAAAGCTTAAAGTATGAATTAAAATGATTAGAAATATTAGGAACGGTACACAATATAAAACTTAGTAACTTTTTTTAAGTTTATAATATTCGACATATTTTAAGATTATATTAAAAAATTATTGAAATATCGAAAACACATAAAAACATGGCTTAAAAAAGTTCTAACAAATTAATGAAAATGACAATAAAACATCCACGCATTTTATCGAAAGTTATAAAAGTTTTGTTACTTGTAATATGTTTTATCTGCCCCCTGGAATTAATGTTTAGAACCTTGTTCCTAAGGTTTGAAAAACATCCGATTGTTGTATATTACTCGTATTTACCTGCTGGATTTTTTAATCCGGTGGACAGTCCATCTAGAAAGGCCCTCCTGGATGAAGTTACAGAATCATCAACCCATACTTTACTTCTAGTGTGTCCTGCGTTTACCCACGTTTCATCAAGGTAATAAATCTTCCTGTTTTGATTTCTATATTTCCCAATTTTTGTTAAATAATCCCTCCTCCATAGCACAATTTCTTCTCTATCCAGTAGTAAACTATTACGACCCCGTTTTTTCCATTTGAAATTTAAATGCTTCAGTAACGCATGGAAAGTTGATCGTTTGAAATTTGGCAACGTTGTATCTCCATTTACCTCCTGCAGTACTTTATCTATAGTAGGTATTTCATTCCCAAAGAAGAATTCGTGCACTTTCCTCCTAATCGCATGCTTATCAGCTTCATCCAATGATTTAACAATACTTTTGCGATGTTTACTGGTCATTGGCTCAGAAAAGGTGTGATTTTTTTTGTATTGTCTTAACACATATTCAAAATGACCTCTTTCATTTCTGCATTCAGGTGTCTTTTTTTAGAGCGTTTCCTAGGTGGACTACAGGAGTTTACAACTTCATCGGCAGTATCTGTACTACTGGGCATTTTGCGCAAGCAGTTGATAACAATAACAAGGTATAACAATAACAACGACAAACTCAACAACTTAATAAGATAACAAACGAAAACGTCCAAAGAAATATCAAATTGCAATGATGCACACGACATACGTAACACGTCTGAACCTGAATGTGACTCTGCCTTGATACGACTGCTCTGCCGCTCGGCATAGGCATTTAATTGCGAATTGACCAATGAGGGCTCCTGTTTTACGTCGAGACGGCGGCGTTAGCGTGAAAATCACCCGAACCTTTTGTTTACATCCGGTCTATCTCTTATCTGAATATACTGTAGTCCTTGGTATAATTACATCGTGTGAACATCATCATCAACTCCTGGTAATTAAGTGAATGTTTTATAGCCTTTCAGAGCTATATTATTCTCATATGATTGATCAAGGTCCTCTACAATGACATGTTTGTGTTAGTCTACAATGTTGGTAATGATGGATCGTGTATAAATCTAGCAAAGCTTGTTTGTGGCGTTTTGTTTTCTGTATGCAACTGAACTTTTCCGAATAAAAGAGCTGTTAGCAGGTACAAAATGAATGTGTAGCGTACAAAAAACAAAACAAAATTCGGCTCTGTCTAGGTACCTGGCGCTGACGGATCCGTCAGAATTATGTGTTCTGTGCCGATATGGAGAATTTTGAGATATTACTAGATAATCAGTTGTCATTCTACCGTGATGAATACTTGTGAAATAGGGTATACATGTTAAGGAACGTACAACTGGCAACCTAGCGAATGTAAGTGAGGTTATATGGAGTGCCAAAATAAAAACGTTAATCTGAGTTGATCGGACTGCTTTCGTCCATGGCTTTTCTCATCGTGATTAGCTGAGAACTCGGCAACCCAGCGTACTCTCTCTTGTACGTACAACCATCTGTAGGCTACACCTGTCAATGCATAGTCATGAAAGTCAATGTCAGTTACGTTCTTCTCTATTTTGCCAGTATGGCAACCGTGTTTTAATCCGTACAGAAATCCAATACTAGCCATTAAAAGACTAGTGACTGAAGGAACTTTTTCATAATTCTGACATATAAATATAATACATCAGCGCATGAAGAAATTTACAGTAAGCCTACTACGTCATTCACGTATAAGAAGCACTTAGGCATAATGAAGAGATTTTTGTGGACATGATGATCACTGTAGAAAAAATGGCATCAGCTTACGAGACGACAAACTGTGATGTCCTAAAGATAAATATACCAAGAAGTGATGTTATTATAACAGCATGAGAATTTAAATTCAACCATAACGAAGACAAAAAATCCTTAACGTCTAAATTACAGTTCAAACAAAAACTGATATCCAATTCGAAAAATATTCCTCGGGCATCAAGATCAATAATCTGCTGAGTCATTCATACGCTGTTGAGATGTTGATGACTGAATATGTATTTGCTTAGCTGTCTTTAACGCAGTTATGAACCGGTGAGTGCCACTTATGTAGAAAATATGTTCCTAGTCAGTGGGCTAAGACTTTTGCGATGATGATTGCAATAAAAAATCGTTATTTAGAAGTTAACAACTTTTTTATGATGCTGATTTGGTCTACGAAAATACAGTTACTGACTGAAGATTGTGTTTCTTTACTCATAAGAGCTTTGGGTGATGAAATATCTCAGCTTTTAATTAAGCATTTTTATCAGGAATGCAACCAATGGGAGCTTTTGATGATCAAAGCATCCAAGCTAATATTTTTCTTTATGAATTGCATTTTAGCGTTAAAATCGCATGCTTTATGCTTTTGAACGCATTATGCTCGTCTGGTGAACCTACGGTCTCAAGGAGACAGAAGCTTAGATATTTTAAAGCTATTTTATTCTTTGACGATTTTATAAGAACCATTTGATATCGATGGTACATACTTCATTAAATAGGTACTTTGCAAGCAGCAATGTCCAACTTTTCAGATCTCCAGACTCACTCCCAAAATAGTGTCATGAACCTAGATACCTAGATATATAGCAGGCCTCTTCCTCAATTCTAACTTTTCTATTTGAGAGTTTTACAGTGTACGTCGAGGAGATGAAAATCTTGCATTTTAGCGGGAGGTATCTACTTTTAACAGTTATTTTAGGCTTATTAGTATCATATTTTCGCGAATATGTTATACGAGTATTTGAAAATTCTGTTCACTATTCATACTTTTTGAAACAAACCATTTTTCACAAGTTGCTACAAGGCAAAATATTTTTCGAATGGTCCAAGGAGCTCGTATTTATTAATATGTTACAATAGTGGTAGAGTGTGGATGTTTTCCTGGGTCATATGCAGAGTCAGGAATTTTGATTGGCAATACGTTTTTGTTTTCTCGTAACAAATCACCATAACTTATCCGTGGATTTTGTTAAAATGTGATGAAATCTAGTGGGTACAGACATGTCGCCAGGAGTCTAGATTAGATTGGATAACAAAAACTCAACCCTCAAAAAAGAATTTAAATCCGATGACCTAGATGTCATTTGCTGACAACTAACAAAACTGCCTAGAATACAATGAGGAAAAATAGATTTTGTATTTTACTAAACTCACATAGACACATGATAAAAATATTCCATTGCAAATAAAAAACGGTATTTTTTGCAATATACAACTTCAAATTTTTACTGTTATGGACCTAACTGTAGATGACAACTCTATCGAAATATTGAATACAGTGATTTTCTCAGGAAGGGTGCCAAAGTAGGTAGGTAATTACGCATTTACATCTTGATCAACTTAATGTGTTACATAATGGCTAAGCTTTATTTCATTTGTGGGAGCTCCATGAAAATAAACCGCCGTATAAGACTTTATTGTCCAATTTCAGAGTCGTTAAACTTTTGAATAACTACATTGTATTCTGATGCATTCCAAGAAGCTGATAAGGACTTCCGAGTAGATGATAACGGTACTGCAAAAACAGTTCGCACCATAATAACTTATATTTTATTGTAACGTAATTAAAATCATAATATTTTCATAACTAAATAAATTTTAATGTAATTATAAATGAATATGTGAAACATTTGCTTTCTTATGTTAAAGAGTGGTGTTTGTTTTGCAAATGGGTCACACGACTCTTTTGTAACAAATTCAATACGGTGGCAATTTTCAGCTGTCGAAAACTTTTTTTTTTCAAAAACTTACACCAATAAAAAATATTTATTAACTGATGCTCGACACATTGCGGATGAAACAGCAAAAAGTATTAGGGTAAAACCGGGATAGACGCCGCAGCGGGATAGATGCTTCATATTCTAACAACCTAACTTCCCGAACGCGAGACTAAAAATTAATTGTATGAGTAGGGGTCGCACTTACCCCGCACCCCGCACCGCAGTTACCCACGGACAATCGTGTTGAGAGGACGCGTTTCACTCGTGTGTGTCATTATATCCGCGGCGAAATTTACGAACACGTTTTGAAGGTTAGTATTTTGTTTTGTATAACTTTATAGTTAGTAATAAATTCCGATATATTCCTTATAACGTTAATTCACTAGTTCATTAAGTGTGCATGTAGGTGTAAATAGATGCTATTTTGTTTATAATTTCTTCAATAAATAATAAATCTATCCCTATCACAGAGGACAGTTTTTTGAGGTACAGGTGCCCTTAGGGGCATCTATCCCACTTTAAACCTTATATGGCATAAGCACATACATATTATTATATTTAAATATTTTAGTGTATGTGATATTTTCTATATTTACGAATATTTATATTTGGACATTTTACTGATTTTAGCAGAACCATGCCACGAAAATATAAGAGAAAGGAAGGAGTGCAAGTTCGAGTATGTTTTTGGACTACAGAAAGTCTACAGGCAGCTTTTGATGAAATCGACAAAAAAACTATGGGGATAAACGAAATATCCCATCAATTTGGTATTCCATCAAGTATATTGAGAAGACGATATGCTGTCAAAAATAAAACAAAATTGACGATGGGTATGTATTAAAAATCATGTAGGTAGTACAAGATATCATAAAATTTTATTTTACTGATTGCTGTCACTAGTTTCTAATATATTTATTAACGTTAGTTATTTGTTTTAGGAAAGCATCCTGTTTCAGATTTTAACAACGAGAAGAGGCTAGTAAAACACATTCTTAAACTTGGTGAGGCAGGATTTCCTCCAAATAGGCAAGCCATACAACATGCGTATGGCTTATCAATTTGCTGAAAAACTAAATCTAAAACATAATTTCGGCCACGATAATGAAATGGCTGGAGGCGCATAGTTCAAAAGTTTTATTGTACGAAATCCAGAACTATCTATCAGACAAGCTGAAGGTTTATACTGATACTTAATATAGGTAAGAATAGTTTATAACAACAAATTACAATTTACGTTTTTTGTTGGTTAAATGCTTGTAAAGTTGATTTTACCAAAAAATGTGATTATGAATGTTGAGAATTTATATGTTAATTAAACAAGCCCTCTAAAATATTTAATAAGAGTTCCTACTTTCTGCGATATTAATATTATCTTCTGAATATAACAATAAAGATACTAAATAAAAACAAAATGTTTTCATTATTATGACCCATGTTTCTTGGAGACAATATGCTGCTGTTTTAGGAGTAGAACTTCTTAACATTTGGACTGAGTATTTTGTTTACAGCCAAGAGGAAAAGTTCTCTAGGGTCGGGATTCCAACCCGCGCAGCTCACGCAGACTGATCAGGAGACCGAAGAGTCTGCCACTGCGGCCACCGCTACTGCCTCGCGTTTTTGACGCATGTACATTAATTCGCAGTAGATGAAAATCAATTTTGTTTCATTTTCGGTGAGTGACTAAAATATTCTTGGATAAATACATATTTGTCACCACATTTTATTATATATAGTTAAAGTATTCCGCTATTTTGGCAACCAAAGAGATATACTGTAAGTTTTATTACAAGCTCACCTTAACTTAATGTACATTAAACACTTCTTCCAAAATGTTCACCACTTCCGTCGATACAGTATCATGAACATATTGTAAATATTTCGGCAACCAAAGTACTTTGGTTTCGGTTTTGTAAGCTTACCGAAATTTCACGCTGTTTGGTTTTAAAAAGACCGGTGAAATACTTTTTTATCGAAGGCGACACACATTACTGTCGAAACTAAAGTATGCAATTTTCTTTCATCGTGGTGATTGATTTTAAGCTGTACATGTGTTTCCAAAACAAATGTTTAAAAAGAATAATGTGAAGATAATGTCAGGAAGACAACCCTTGAAGTTACGCGGGTTTCATTAAAAACGTGAAGTGCTACAGTATATCTGTCAAGAAGTCAGTAGCTCAAGTGTCACCCCGTAATCGCAGCATAATCAATTGTAGTTTTTGGAATGCATGATAGTTAATGCTCAAACTCAGTACATTGGCGGCAGAAAAATGTTAAAATAAAAATCCATAACGATTATCAAAACTTATCTTTACTGGATCGAGGCTAAATATGTGGCAAGTGGTGATTTGTATACTTATATCTGGAACCATAGGTGATGTAGGTGCCACATAAAGGCGTTGAAACAACCTCTATGGCAATATAGACGGTATCCAGGTGTGCAATTAATTTCCAACCTAACGGATAGTCTTAAATCGAGCTGATACATTTTGGAATAACCTACATTGCCAAGTTGTAGGCGTCTAATGAATTTTGGGGTCAATCGCCACAATGAATCATCCTTGTTTGTAGTGGAGGTTGTTGCCCAGACCAGATGCTGACCTACTCATTATCACTGTCTTTATTTAGGAAAATTGATTTATAGCAATTGGTCTCACACATGGTACAAACCTATAAAGAGGATATTAGCATTTGACTGTAGGATATAATTATGATAGGCAACTAAAGTAGTTCGCTTTTAGGAATACAAGAATTTTGCTGCGTCATAACGGAACCAATAGGTAGTTCGTAATGGAAAAACATGGATTTGGAATATAGGGATAGTAGCTGTTTGCGGCTTTCATTGTTGTTGGAGAAAAATTACATTTACATGACTTAGACTTCGTTTTAAGGTGCCAAAACATATTTGTTCTCTGTGGAATGGTGGTCACACAGGAAATCGGGAAAAATTTGTATAATGCAAAAAAGCTTTTAAAATTCAATACATTGCTATGTCAAAGCTTAAAACGCAAAATAAAAAGGTACTTAGCAGGCTTTCATAATTTTTAAAGTTTTGTTTTTATTTCAAATATTTGCTTATGTCCATATCAACAAACTAATGGTTTTGCTTTGGACAAAAATAAAAATCAATTTTGACCATATGGCAAGCTTGAATTCAAGTTTTCAGCCGTCCACCTTTACAGGTTGTCCACCATCTTGAATACTAAGCAGTTAAGTCTTTTATCGCAAATAATAGCCGTACGTTTGATGGCACAAAAAATATTAAATGGAAGCGAACGAAATCAGCTAATATCTAGAATCTCAAAAAATATGGCTTTAGTTAGTAATGACAGTGCGTAATATTTGATTCAATATAAAGCTTAGTGCAAATGGAACAAAAATAGTTTTCGGGGAATATATGAACTTTCCATGTTTCTAAAATGAATCATATACCGGTCGGCTGTCCATAGTAGCAGAGCTGGAAGCATTGGACTTTTTTATATTGACACACTACTGAAGGAATCCATTAATTGGTTGATTTGGCCCAAAAACAGCGAACGGATATCGGTTTTTAGTGACTGATGACGAAAATGTTGTGTTAATTATTACTGACATATATGGTCGGATCAGACTAAAGTAGTGATGTGTGTCGTTTGGTCTGGAGTACCGTTACAATGCGATAATCCATCTCAGTATGGTACCTTAAACGTATAGCAATAATAAAAAAGTAAAATTCTTATGATAAGATCATAAGATCTATAACTAGTCTATCGCCAAATAAATTATGTAGTTAAAGCTTTATTCAATTATCATTTCTTACATTTCCCTATACATTTATACAGGGTGATTCACAAGTCGTCTATTGCAAAGTATACCTGCGGACTCAGATTCAAATATCTCAGAATGCGGAATTTTTCAAAATATATGTATATTATGCGAAGAAAGGCGACTTAGAACTGACAAAGGATTATGCAATAATTGTACAAAGATTCGCAAGACCGCTGACATTAGATATAAAAATCCTGCCACGAGGCACCGAATGTGAAACATTCATATTTTAGGACATTTTCTGAGTATGGAATCGTTAAATTTCATTTATCCCCATTGACACGTTTCTTTCACGTGCTGTGTGTATAATTTTCGAAAAACTGTGAAGAAAAATATCCTAAAGTAATAAAAATCCTGAAGGAGCCGTTTAGAACATTTTTTATGTAACTTCATAACCGCGGGATGAATGTCGAAAGTTACATTTTTTATGAAAACGATTGTATGGCATGATAAATCAAAATACCGTCTCCAGGTATTTATTAATTACGATTAAGTGCTTTTTAGGAGTTTTAATCTATACTACAAAGATGTGAGCCGTGTAAATGACAGGATGTAAAGTTTTAGCTGAGGATCATAAATCATCATAATATTACTACCGACAGCAGCAGAGGTCGGCCTTGAGGAACAGCGTTTACCTTTTTATCTACATCACCGTTACTAATCGACAGTTTTTGATAGCAGTAACGACTCTGAGTAACGAAGATCGTCGATATTAAAAAGATTGATCCTTACGGAAAGAGCAGATGGTCTCTATATGTGAAAACCATTACGGTCTTACATTCCAAATAGTTGAATTGAATGGAAACTATTTATTCGGTTGGAAGGGTGTATCTTTTTACTTTTGTGTTATTATTTTTACTGACTATTATAAAATAGCAAACTGAGTTGGTTAGAAAATTTTTAGATTGCTTCCGAATTCGTCAGAATGGTATTAGTATTCTCTGAGCGATATAAGGTCCGTATCGTAAGTCGCTCCTACAGTTGTAGGGCGCCTTTATGGCCTCCTTGATTGTCATAGTTTTCTACTTTTCCGTGTCAGCGCTCTATTTTGAGGTTATGTCACAAATATCTATTTGCATCAAATTGTGCTTGCTTTTGAGTTATATCATGTTTTATGAGCCTGAAATTTCCTAAGATTTAAAAAGAAAACATATTTTCACAATAGGCTAGCGCTGACGCTGACACGGGACAGGTGCAATCTGGAAATGTCTGAGGGAGAGAAATGAGTATGACAATCAAGGAGGCCATAAAAGCATCCTACAATTGTAGGAACGACTGACGATACGGGTCTGTTGGGGGGTTTGTTGCAGGCGGCGCACTGTGGTTGGTCTGATCTTGTGTAGATTTAACTGTGTGCCATGAAATAAAGATGCCGACCTGGTCCTTTCTGTATATATTTCGTATAACTTACCGCCGCTGTCCTGGTTCCATCGATTTTGCCATAATGCCCATATTTAATTCTTGATATGGTTCTTGATGTCAGCGCTTTTCATAATTATTGACTTAATGGCATTTATATTTCTATAGTACCGTTACCAACTGATGGTTCATCTAAACAGTATCTCGATATTCGGAATATATCCATAATTAGGGAAAAAACAGATGGTAGCTACATGTGAACACTATTGCCGTTTAACATGCCAAATAATTGAGTTTAATAGAAGCATCTATTTTAATTATTAGAAGCTCACGTTTTCCACTTTTGCATTCTCACTTTTACTGCCTGTTATTCAGTAACAAAATATCTCCGTTAATTGAACATATACCTACTCTTAGTTAATGGAACTTCTGATCAGATAAAGTAACGACTATACTGCCGTTTTGGATACCAAGACAGATTTTTTAGAATAATTTTATTATTTAATATTTCTCTTATAATGGGTTGATTTGCTAAAATACTATTCTTGAAGGTGAGATCTGATTGATATTCTCCAAAACGACTGGTGGGCCATAAATATTTTTTTACATCCAGGTTGTTTCTTAAGGTTTTTCATTGATTTCCAAATGCGCAGATACTTTGCTTCACCATGTCAACGGCAAACTGGTGTATATTTCACACAAGAAAAGCGAAATTAATGTATTGTGTCCTTGACTTCCTGTTCAGGAATACCCTATTTTACGGAAATTTCGTTCATAACTGATTTTCTCAGATTTCTATTGTTATAGCTTTCTGACAAGCAATCCCACAAATTGACATAAGATTCATATAACTCTATTAACTCTACTAAAGTGAATCTAGTCCAATTGAAACAAGAATTATTTTTTCAAACCTCTATTTTCACTTAATTCACTCATTTCCATAAGCACAAGTCCTATCTTAAGATATAACAACGTAACGTGCAGCAAGTAAAATAAATGTCATTTGCCGTGTATCATGTTTACACGTTGAACCCTGTACAAGAGATTAAACTCTCATGACGGATAGTTTTACGGGATCATCTCTCGGCTGTTTCCACAATAAAATAGTTCTTTTCATAAAATGTTTATTTCATGAGACAAAACTATCATAAAATAATCTCATTGTGGATCTGCACCTCAACACCTGAAACTTATCGTGCGATTTTCATTA